GCTGATAGCATACTTGGTCCGCGTCAGCGATATTGTCGCTCATCTTTCAGCTTTGTTTATATGTCGCCAAAGCTCACTTGGCAGCCCATTTCATCCCAATTTTGGTTAGTAAGTTAGTTTACTAGTACCTGAAAGGTCTAGCCACAGTTCGAGTGGATTTCGAGAGCGACGAGGGGGGGGGGGGGGGTGATTCTGATTGATACAGCGCCCCATCAAAATAGATGATCTTGTTACGCTGTGCAGGCAAGAGCAGCGTAAGCCACAAGAAAGTAATCGGCTACTCGGAATCAGCTCCATTTTGCTGAATGGCCGAGATCGCTCACCTCAGGGATCGCTCGTCAAGCTGAGATCTCAGCTCCCTTACCTACAACTCAACGCTCGGAGTATCCAGTTCGTCGTGGAGATTTGCAAGTACTGTGCGCGTCGTCGTCGTTCAAAATAAAATCTTGCAAAGAACGCGTCTGATTTGAACCACACAGACTGTCGTACTGCCCACGCGAAGTCCTATAGAGAAGGCGACCGTTACGATCGACTTCTGTTTAGAAAATAGCCAGGCAGCGGAGAGGAAGAGAGATGAGCTTGCAAAAGCAAGAGAGTCGATCCCGAGCAAAAATATTTGTCACCAGCGTCGAGAGCAGCGACGAGGAGGACCGACAAAAGTAGGAACCCTTCCTTGGACAATAAATTCCTTACAGCTAGTTGTCATTCTATACCTTACCGTCCATCGTACCAAGTTTTATCACTTCAAGTGCACGCGTTCATGTCCAAAGTCTGAGTTCAAATTGTCGAAAGATAAGCGACAATATTGCTGACGCGGACCAAGTACTAGTAAACTAACTTACTAACCAAAATTGGGATGAAATGGGCTGCCAAGTGAGCTTTGGCGACATATAAACAAAGCTGAAAGATAAGTGACAATATCGCTGACGCGGACCAAGTACTTCTTTCTGGAAACAACATGCATGTGTGCTTGGATAGTATCTGGCTGAGGAAAGGTTACTACCAAAGGCATTGTACCGGTACTCAAAATGGATGTGGTAGAGTTGGAATTGTTTCACCGTAAGACATGTAAATATAACGAGGACGTATCTAACATTTTATCGAGTTAAACTGCTTATCATCTTGCTTAATATCTTGCTACAGTCGTTCGTAGCTGCTTCATAACTCGTATCCATGTGATTTCTTCTATTAAATATTATCGAGTGGCATTCCTTCGTTACAATACGTTCTGTTGAGGCTGTTACATCGTAAACTTGCGACTCGTTATAATAACATGTCTTGCAGTAACCAAAAGTGGTACCGAGAGCAAACCATGACACTACATTCGCTTACGTTGGCGCCCGCATCGACTAGGTAGCGCGAGATGGGCAGGTGCTGTAGCTCCACGGCATGGTGCAGTGCTGTTCTGCCGGCAGTGCCATCCTGAACACAAACACATGAAACCAATGCCACGACAGCTATCACCTATTTCCGTAAATTATAAAAATTATGACAGCAAGAAGGAATTCGAAAATTTCTAGGAACTGAATGATCAGTGAATTTCGACCCCAACCCACATTTACCTGTGCCTCTTTGTCTGGCAATCAGTATTCTTGCACTATCAGCAGAGCTTGGTCTGCTGGCTCCCTCATACAGGGTGCATAACTGAGCTGCACCCATTGCCCCCACACCCCCTTTAGTTGTAGGCTGGATAGCAAGCTGTTGAATGGTGTCATCCCAGCAAAAGTTGCTATGTCTAACATAGCTTGTCTGCTATTATAGCTTCAGTGAGGGGCAGGTGGAAGCGATGGAAGTGGATAGAACTCTCACTCCAAACTCTCCTGTCATAATACGAGCCTGATGCTTCTGGACTACACCTTTCACTGTCCACTATCTCGGTCTCTCACCTCAAGCCGATCAGACACCCTACGAAATACTCTCTGGGATACTTCCCATTCCCCTCTTAAAAAAGAAAAGAAATTTCACGGTTCGTGTGAGACTCGGCTGGAGGCCGGGTCTTCCGCACCCGTAGCAACGCCACCACCCTCTATGGATCAAGGCACAGATGCAGCTCCTAAAGCGGTGGGAGGTGAGTAGATCAGACCCATCCCCAAAGTGGTCAAAGACACCGCATCTATACGCATTCCCATAGTACCTTCTCGTCAATATCTGCGCCATGGTCCAGTAAGATGTTCAGTGACTGCCCGTCATTGTGAATAACACTGCAGTGTATCGGCGCAAACCCTGAGCATCACAAACACACAAAACACACTGCAAGTCACCACTGCACAATCTAACACGCATCCACGACAAAAAACGACCATGACTCGAAACTCGCAAGACTTTCAACTACTGCAAGGCCGCAGGTTTCATCGGTTGCAAAACACAGGTTTCATTGGTTGCAAAACACAGGTTTCATTGGTTGCAAAACACAGGTTTCATTGGTTGCAAAACACAGGTTTCATTGGTTGCAAAACACAGGTTTCATTGGTTGCAAAACCCAGGTTCAATGTTTCACGGTGGGTATACGTGTAGTGGCCTAGTGGCTAGTGTGTTTCACCTTCGTAATCCTTTATCGACATATCCAGCTTGTGAATGGTCACGCTGAAGTGTTTGGCCACTTTCTCGTCTTGCACGGTGAAGAGCTCTCTCAGGCAGTCGCGACTGTGATACTTGCAGCACAGGTGCGCTGCAGTTCGTCCGTTACGATCCTGGAGAGAGAGAGAGAGAGAGAGAGAGAGAGAGAGAGAGAGAGAGAAAGAGAGAGAGAGAGAGAGAAAGAGAGAGAGAGAGAGAGAGAGAGAGAGAGAGAGAGAGAGAGAGCATTCAGACGCACAAACACACACACACACACACACACACATCAAACAAGAGCCGGTGATCTCCAACCCTTTGATGATTCGCTACAGTGAAAAGTGAGTGCAAAGGTGAGGACTGACGGCTATTTGTGCTTGACGCACACTAAAAAGTAGAATAGCAATGCTGAAGAATACTCCCCCCCCCCCCCCTCTTTCTTCCCCAACACTATTTAAGCCTGGCATGACACTAAATATCTTGTATAAGCGGATAAGTTCAGCCACAAGGCACCAATTGGAAACTTTTTAAATATTTTAAATTATATATAATGTTACAGTAGAATCGCACCACAGGTACAAGTCAGAGAATATGCTTTAGAGAACTACAGTAAAACCTGTCAAGGCCACCACTCGGATAAGGCGACCATCTGTCCTAGAAGACCACTGCAACCGGGACCAAAGGATGCCATTTCCAGTCAAATGACCCTGGATAAGGAGACCACCTGGTAACAGAGACCACGTTTTGAAGGTCCCTTGAGTGGTTGTCTTAGACAGGTTTCACTGTACATCATGCCATATTTCCAGGGCACGGACAAAATGAAACTATCGTATTTGCTGGAGTATAGCGTGCACTTTAGATGTACCATTTCAGACCCCAAATCGCAGGCGCACACTACGCTCTGAATATGAAAATGCATGTACTTCGAAAGCCAGTGCAATGCATCAAATTATTGCGAAGTTGCAACCTCTGACCTGGAGCAAACCATACGATTATTGTGTGCATTACCTGGACACTTCTGCAGTTCTGGAGCCTGGGCTATTTTGCTTTGTGATTTTTTCTGTCTTCCGGCTATTTATTTCCTTTCCTCCTTTGCTTCTTTAAAGGGGAAGTTAAGGCAAAAATTAAAATTTCACCAGTTGTAGTCTTCGGGGTGCTGAGTCGAATGGTCGTGGTCCGAGGAAGCTGAGACGCTCCCTTCCTACTTGAATCCCAATCGAACTCGCGCACTTCCACCGAAACTGGGTGACTGCGCCCTACTAGATGGGGATTTGTATGCAACATGTCACTAAACGCGCCATTTCGCTCGTATAAAAGCACGGATGACCGCGATTGGCCCATATGTTGTAGTCTTTTGGACGCTGAGTCGACTGGTTTTGGTCCGAAAAGGCTGCGATGCAGCGTTCTTCCTTTATTCCCAATCGAACATGGTTGAACAAGCGGTCACGTGCTCCTGCGTACGCCAGTCACCTGGTCACCGTGCCTGCAGGGTACAACTTACTAGCCTGTTTGACCTTTTTTGGGTGCAGTCCTGTCACTCGAGTTGAACTCGAGTTGAACCTTGGTGTGAAAGTTGTCGCCTGCTGGCGTGGTGACCAGGTGATTTGGGCACCCAGGAGCACGTGACCGCTTGTTCAACCATGTTCGATTGGGAATAAAGGAGGAACGCTGCATCGCAGCCTTTTCGGACCAAAACCAGTCGACTCAGCGTCCAAAAGACTACAACATATGGGCCAATCGCGGTCATCCGTGCTTTTATAAGAACGAAATGGCGCTTTTAGTGACATTTTGCATACAAATCCCCATCTAGTAGGGCACAGTCACCCAGTTTCGGTGGAAGTGCGCGAGTTCGATTGGGATTCAAGTAGGAAGGGAGCGTCTCAGCTTTCTCGGACCAAGACCATTCGACTCAGCACCCCGAAGACTACAACTGGTGAAATTTTAATTTTTGCCTGAGTCAACTTCCCCTTTAATACCTTTCATATTCACTTTTATGTTATTGGGCCCAGTTCCCGTTTAATGTGCGAAGTAAAAAAACAAAACAGACAAAAACAAAACAGACAAACTGTGTCTACTGCCAGCTACACAGCTAATGCATGATGGTTACAAGACTCCATCGGTAACATGTGCATTATACAAATGTAAAATAGTCGCAATAGTACAAACTCCCATTCTTGGACGTTCTGGTGAGCCGAGAGCAGGACAGTTTCAAGACGACCATCTACCAGAAACCAACGTTCACCGGACTGTACACAAGATGGGACAGCTACGCACCAATTCACGGGGCAGAAAGTGGCACTGATCAAGTCGCTAACTGACAGTGCAGGCTAGGCATGGATAGTCTATGTATCGCAATTTTCTGCTAGTCATGGTGAGTTTTGAGTAGCAGTAGATCGATTTTGCATCGCAAACTGCGATCCGATACAGGATAAATTCATCACTGGTGCGTGTACTCTTTGGCGCAACTCACACTATCATTCAGCCTGTGTACGTTTCATCACAATTTTTCCGCCAATATGCTGTATAAATTTACATTGTTGTGCTTCGTCACATTATCACCATGTACTGATTTTGAAGAGCAATGGTACGAAAGGCCTCATCAGATTTTCAAATAGCTTCGTCTCTTCGTGTGCTGAATAGTACTGTCTATAATTAGTACAGAAAAGAAAAAGGACCAAGGAACTACAAGTTACGCTATAATGTCCACTAACGCCACCAGCTACTAAACAATCAGTTCATGCGGTAACATTGCACGACACTGACCGACGGTACTGACGTTCTACAACTAACTGGCTAACAGCTCTAGCACATCTCGGATGCGCACTCCAACAGCCTTACAACTTGGAAGGTTCTAAGTTATTATGACTTGTACTTCCTTGGTCCTTTTTCTTTTCAATAAATTTATCCTTGGCTCTCCATCCGAGTCTATAATTGTTATGATCGTTAATGCTGTCAAATCTAGGTTGCGCACTATACCATGGATATGCCTTGAACTGCACTCTACCCTGGATAAGGCTTGAATTGCAAAAAAAGTTGCTCAAAGAGGGGGTGAGCATTATACTCCGGTGAGCGTTATACTCTGAAAAATACGGTAGATGAAATTGTCCGGCTTTGGTGAGCGTAGTATTTTTACACCATACGCTGCGCATACACTGCATGGTGAAGACATCACTTTCTTTTCTTCCGCTGTCTGATGAGCGTTTCCACACACGAAAACAGTTCCGTTCTCCGTTTTTTTGCCTAGCAGTACGGTATGCCCTAGCTAGGTCATAGTTCACTAACAGCAGCAACGACCATAGACACTTTGCCACTCCAGTTCTTTTCTAGTAAAGAAAATGTCCTTTGAGATTCCCTTGCAGCTCATAATACAAGCATACATTTCAGGACGAACAAGTACACACCAAACTGGAATGTAATATGTTGCCAACAATAGGGGAAGCAGTTTTTACTCTGTGCGGGCAATTCCCTCGCAAATAAGTTAACAATTCCCTTGCAAACAAGTTAACAACTCCCTTGCAAGTCAAACCAGGCAGTGAAGCGTGGCACCGCTGCCATACGCACGTGCTACTACCGTACCTGAAGGTTCACATCTGCTCCGGCCAGGATTAGGTCTTTGACGATGTGGCGTTGACTGGTGATGACTGCAAGGTGGAGTGGTGTCTGCAGACAGTAGCCCACGCGCACACACACATACACAAACACGTACACACACATGCATACACACACATACACACACACATACACACACACCACACACATACACACACACACACACACACACACACACACATACACACACCACACACAAACACAGCACACGCCACCAATAGTGTTCTGGATTTAGGTGCGTTGAGCACTCGACTCGAGCTGCCCTGACTGATACTGACTGTGAATGTAGACTTGAAAATAAAGTGAACAGTTTTGCCATTCCAGAAGACATCAGTTTGATTGTAATGGCTTCCTCTGAATGCAAAAGCCTCCGAAAGTCTTTTCAAGCTCCAGCAATTAGAGGAAGGAGTAACCTCAAAATTACATCACATGTTATTTTTACAATTAAAAAAGAGAGGACCATAAGTTTACAAGTTATCCATTTTGTCAAGCACTAACGATTATAAGCAGGATACTGTTGAGTCAAAATGTGCAACAATTAGCACAAAACTGACTGATGTGATACTGATGTTCAACGACCTGATGCTTAGCTGCATCACGTCTGGAATGCGCAACCCAACAGCCTTTCTACTATTTTAACACTGAATTTGAGGAACTAGTCCATATTTTTGGTAATTTTGTTGATAGGAAACTCGTCTGTTTCCAGTAATGCCATAATTTACAATGAGGAACAACTTGAACTACCTAAAAATGCTCTGTTTTGAAAGCAAGTGTCGTGACACACTAAGCCGATCAGCTTCCATGGCAGGACAGCTGAAGTGTACGCATCCTGGTGAAAGTCAGACCACTCTACCCGGTCCGAAAGGCAGTCAGAGTACCGAGGTTCCACTGCACCATAAAGAAATTACCAGTGAAGAAACAACACCTAACATACCTGGTAAAGATTGTTCCGCGGATCAACACTGGTTTTCGTCGCCACGATGGTCTCCAGAAGCTGTCTCGTTACCCGTACGTCGCCGTGAACAACGGCTATGTGGAGGCACCTGCACACGGATTATGAAACAGCCAAACAGCCAAACGTTGGACCCTCTTCCCTCCCCCAAGAAGACCAGTTTTATGTTTCATAATAATCACTGGTTTTTGATCATTGGTTTTGAATAGAGCCCCAATCTCTAGGAGACATCCTGATCTTTTTTGTTTCATGTCCAGCATAAGCGGATGTGTGGATCGAGCATGAATGCTTGGTTGACGCTGCCAATCATAGTATAATATAATTGAAATACGATACTATCACCGGTAGATCTCTTACGTGTCTCCGTCCTCATCTCGCTCGCTCACGATGTCCAGAGCTCGCTCCATGTCAGGGCTTCCACCGCGATCGGACGCCTTGTGCTTTCCGCGGAACAGGAGCGAGGCGTCTTCCAGTCCTGGCAGCGCATTGGATGCGAGTAACCGCTGGTCCGGCTGGCTTGTGAGAGTGCCGATCGGAGTCGGTATCGCCATGGTTGCCGGCGCATAGATCTGCTGGGGCGACGCGAAGAACTGCGGAGCTATGGCCATGGGGTAGTGAGCACCACCTGTATATCACACGACAATACCGATACAGCACCGCACCGCAGGACTTGAAGCATAGCACAGGTCTTAGCCAAACTACCACGGAATCTCTGAAAGTGGCTGCAATGGAGTTTGCCAATCTATAGACAGGTGTATCGCGATTGCTGCAAAGTGACCACGTGTGAGTGCTTGGACTCAGAAACGTAATGTGCACAAGACTGCGACAGAGTTTGCAAATTGAATTTAAATATAAGAAACAAAAAAATGAAAAAAATTGCATATAGGTGTGTATGTCTGTGCATGCTAGGACAATAATCAGTAAGGCCATCATTTTTTATAGCTATGTTTCGCGTCGTCCGCACGCATACGTTTTGACTTTTTTAGGAAAAAAAATAAAAAAATCGAACATGCACAGTGAGTGTATGATCGTGCGAGTCATCAGTGTGGACTGGTTGCGATACGGCGAAGCTGGGATTCAGAAATGGCCTCTAGGCCAGCGTTGGTAAATCGTTAGTTCGGCATCTGGGAGCAATATTCTATGAGCTTACACCAGACCGCATTGATCGCCTCAAGCTGAGAGGATGCGTCGTTCCGGAGCTCTTTGCACCGCTGCTGAAGTCTCAGTACAATAGTCCAGCGAAGCATGGGCACCAACGGTTGCCTCCTCTCAGAGTCCTCTGTCCAAAGTGAATATTTACTCATGCTGATAACCCAGATGTTGTGCTTCAATGTACGATTTTTCTCTCGAATGTACATCATGCACGAGCTATTGCGCTATGTACAGTGCATACACCTCTGATGAGCCTTTTTTATTATTTTGCAACTTTTTATTTTTTCCACCTCTCGCATATGATTCTGGAAGTTGAACTGATGCGAAACATAGATATAAAAAATGATGGCCTAATACGTATATACTCTGAAAGACACAGGGCAGTTCACAAGCTTACCAGGGGCAATTGCAAACCTAGTGGGTGCCATGGCCGGTGCCATTATTGCATGGCCAAACGGCTTGCTGCCGTCAACGGCCATCATCTCCGGGGCGACCTGCATAGTCATTGCTTGCGGCGCAACCGTGACGTGCTGACCAATCAGCGAAGAGCTGGGCGTTTGAAGCGTGCCCACGACTGAAGAGATCGGCGTCGCGTGGACCACAGCGGTCGGCTGCACAGATGATTTCGGCTGCACTGCCGTCGCAATCGGTACGGGGTTGGACACTGAGCTCACTGCCACTGCGGCTGAATCGCCATTTTCGGCTGCAGGAGAACAGGGATAAATGTTGAGAAAGAGACTTGGCATTTGCTGTACATATATACACAGGGGCGTCGGACACGGTACGGTCCCTACGGTATTGGCCGTACCACTTTTTGCCCCAAGTACCCATCAATGAAATACAATGATCTGGGATCTAAATTTCGGGTCAGCCGCCACTTCCCCACGAAGAAATTGTGCTTCAGATGGCTGACCGTACCACACTAAAATACCGTCCGACGCCCCTGATACAGTAGTCAAAAATGCTACGAATTGTGCATGCCGTGGTTCAGACACGAAGTTGCCAAGCGGCCTGGGTCATAGAACAAGTCAACTCGTGTGACTATTCGTGTTAGCCTCTACAAGTGCCCGACACCCCAGACCATGATACATCTAGTACAAGCCAGTCTACGCAGTCTTGGGGCTCAAGGGGCCTCTGCAAAGAGCAGTTCAACTGTGTTTTCTTCTGTACGGATCGAGTGAAGGTCGAGTGGAGCCCAAGTGGAGCATGGGCGATGATGCTGGGGCTGGTAAATTTTTTCACCCTTACGACTCTTGATTAGCCATAGCATAGTGAGATGGTAGACGACTGATGGTTTCGGTTCAGCGTCAGATACAAAGCAGTGGCAGTCCAACCAAGAGTCTTGCAGCGCTCTAACGTTATCAGTTACTGCCGCTGAAGACTGGCTCAGCTAGGCATCTTTTTGCTGTGGTCACATCTGTATTGTGACCACCGGCATTTCTTCTTGGCACTGGCAGATGCTTAGTTGGCCAAGAGCAATGGGCTGGAAGTCAGTGCATGTCATACTGACCCACAACAGCCACAGTATGCTAGTATGCAGGCACGTGTAGTTTTAGCTAGGCTGCAGCTGATAATACCATTGGATTGGCCGTTCTGAGGTCCTGGACTACAACAATGTTGCTCCTACCCACTAGGCATGTCTATCAGCTGCCAGTGGAGAATTCTCCACTGTCCATTCGTGACTTGGCTCTTGTCTAGGTGGGCAGGCTGCTAACCACCAGACCTCGTGCTATTCGACAGCTGCTGTTCACGTTCTTGGCAACCGGCCGTCACCGCTGTTCAGCTACTTTCAGAGGCGGCAGCACAGCCAGTGTGCTTGCACGCACGCACGTATAGCACTGGCTTCTATGCCCGGGAAAGCGCAAGCCATCGATGTTCCCGCACACCCCCAACTATATGTTACTGGGGGAGCTCCATATATGGCATGAAAACTGTACATATATTACACCTTCAAAATCACCACATAGCTCTGTCACGCTGCGCGATTGCATGTAGCTGCACATATGTACGTACTTCGGAATGAAGCGGGACAGAACAAAAATTGCTGCAAACTGAGAGAGCAGCAATTTTAGATTGAGAAAAGAACTGTCACCGAGATCTCCTTTGCAGAATTCACAGAGGCAAATCAGAAAATGAGCATCTATGGATGCAGTGGCCGGTGCTATTTCAGTGTTCGACTTGCATGTCCGTAATGATTTTTTTTCAATTTAGCCGCAGATCAATGGGTGTCACTCACTATCCAGCCCCAGTACACTGAGAGGCAAAGACAGTATACTGAGAGGCAAAGACATTTAGCTCAAATGCAGCGAGCAGTAGATAACAGATGCAGAATCAAATCAGGAATGATTCTTCAGTAGGGAAGACTGCAGTGCGGATGGAATCAGCGTGCTGGCATGGATGCGTCGCGTACAATATTCGTAATAATTCAATTGTTTGTAACTTTCCTTATACCTGGCCCGCACTAGTAGGCCGATTTTTCGGCAGATGCTCCACCACCGACTCTGGCATGAAATAGGCCGACTGGGTCGGACCACATAGTACACACACAATTTTGTCGGAAACGTGTGAGACAACACCGTCCACACCAGGCAATTTTTTCGCTGATCTTGAGGACTTTTTGTACGATTCGATATCGGCCGAAAAATCGGCCTAGTGTGGGCCAGGGAATTACTTCTGCTCATATCATCGCGCCGACACCAGAATGGTGGTGCATGTATATGCTTTCGTGTGTGTAGACTACGTGTCATCACTGTCGAGTGTATGAGTTCACTTCCGTATTCACGCCAGGCTAGTATTAGTACTAGTAGGGCAGGGGAACGAGGCAGGTACTCCGTGCAGAGCAAGGGGAAAACGAGGGAAAGGCAGGCGCGACTGCAGGGACTGCTCCGCCAGGTTCGCAATGCCTGCCCTGCGCTGATTGAATACCCGTAACTCCAATGAAGACTCGCCATCGGCCTAGTTCTCAAAGCCGCCGTTTTTCAGTATTAATCTTCAATTCCTAACTGGAACACACAAAGGAAGAAATCAGAAAGGAAGGCTTGAAGGAAATTGTCCCAGCTCAATAATTTTCGCACCACCCAAAGCCTCGACAGCTACAGATCACTTACTAGTTTTTTTCTTGTTGTCTGCGGCCTTTTCGCCTTTTACCGTTTTACTTCTGCTTTTCCGAGGCTTCCTAGCGGGCTTCTCCTTCACTGGGGGAAGAGTCGGAGTTGCTGGCGCAGCTGCTGCAGGTTCACACGCAGTGGGTACTTGGCAATCCTTCACTGGAGCACCATTCGGGCTAGAAGCGGACGATGGAGACGACGTGTTGGGCATTTCTCGCGTCCTAGCCTCCTCGGCAGCATGCACCAGGAATGACAAACGAGACAGGTCTCCGTGCCCAGCAGTCTTTGGCAAATCGCCATCGTTCGACACTGCCGCCGCTTCAGGAGCCTTAGTTTGAGCGGTGGCAGCTTTCGCAGCAGAAACCCTATTCCGAGCGCGTTTCTTCGGGGGCATATGTTGTTCGTTCTCCATCTTAGTTCTTACGTTGGAGTTCAGCGAAAATTTGAACGAGTCCAAGTTCACAGGTCTCGTCTCGATCGCACTGAGTCTTAGGATTGCCCAAACAGAACGGAATCGAACAATGAACACAATCAATATCAGCTTCGTTTACCACAAGGACACTACAGGCGCTGCTAGCGCGAGTTCCTTGTTGGTCCTGTGATTCTGCAAAGCAGCGGCAGTTCTTCTACACGTACTACCAGTGAAGCAGGTGACGCTTTCATGGTACTAGTACTACTAGAAAAGAGCGGAGCCAAATTAGTGGAGGGCCTGCGTAGAGGATTGGGAAAGCGGCAGCCACTTGCATTTCCATGCATTCGGCCAGAGAAAAACGCCTTGATTTTGTTGGACCCACGCCACTAGCACTCACGGTCAGCAAACTGTAGTACTAGTCTACGTAGATCTACGGCACTAGCACTCATGAGTCATTGCAAACTGCAAGTGCAATGCACTCCACAGTCCAGTCGAGTCAGCATGGACGTGTTCTGACTGTTGCAAGGCATGCGATATCCACGCAGGGGCTGCGCGCAGGCAAATCGGGGATGAAGACTCGCCACCAGCTTGTGAAGTTGTGTACCCGAGCCGACCAGTCAGTACATGCCAGTGCATGCCATGCCAGTGGCCAAGCGCGGTGGATGTGCATGCACAGCAGACTACGTACCGTATACGCGTAGTACATGTATACTGTCAGCTCATCAGCGCTGCTTGCAAAGATTAGACGTAACTTTTACTAGTTTTAGTCACGACTGATGTCTGAAGTGAAGTGAAGAGCTCCACCACGTACCACCTCATGCTACATCAGTCATCATTATCATGGTGCGGCGTGGTTCTTGTGACAAAGTACTGCTGCTGCAGTGCAGGCTAAGTACAAATCACGTTCCTAGGCCAGGGCCTGGCCCATTTTGGTATCGACTCTCCACTTTCAAAGTCCTTGTCGTCAGCTTTGCTCCCACTCAATGACATGACGTCACTAGCATGTCAAGGAGGAGGACAGCTCTAGGACTAGGTAGCAGAGAAGAAGCGAATGCGAAGCTCGGAAAGGGACCGGTGCGTGCAAGGCAGGGAGTCGTACAAACACGACTCTCTGTGCTAGCGGTGATGCGCATTGCGTCGCTCACCCAACCTGTGCCACTGGGGCCTGGTGCGGGATTTCCCCTGCATGCATGGGGATGGCACTGGATGATACGTCATAGATTGTCGTAAGAGCTAGCCTACACTACAGTACAGATAGTACAGTACAGAATGATCTACAGACAGTACAGATATCGGAGCATACTAGGCTATAGACGACACGTAGCTCGTCAGACTCATAGGACGTAACGTAAAAATCGTTAGTATCTCTAGCTCTCAGCTCAGCCTCTTTTAGGGGCAAAATAAACACAATGAATATTTTTTCCCAAGTGTTCCAAAAACTTCAACTCAAAGTTCTAGAAAGAAAAAAGAAGGAAAAAACACGCAAAAAACACAACAGCATAATAACATAAGTGGGTATACCCAGGTTTCAACAGTGCTCAACACCACAGGGGCGGAGCGTAACCACAAAGGTCAAAAAGAATGGTTTCACCAATTATAGAAACATACGTTGTAACGCTGCGTTTCATGCACGTAGCTAAATGCTAAGGCAATCATCAGACAACTAATGCTTTTGTCGCGGGATAGCTTGTTCTTATTTATTACACCGCCACATCCTCTGAATACCCGCGGCTGTTGAATGTGGACACCACAGTGTGCTTCCACCGCCACACATCACACCCCCTGCCCAGTGCCCCCATGGCTTACCCTTGTCCTGCCTGGTGGTTTCTCCGCCTCCGCACGCTCCATGCATAGTTCGCGCCTACTGCGCATGCCCATCCAGTGATGTAATTATTATCACTCGCTATTCCCATGCATGCCCTGCATTGATAACTCACACCTCCTCTTCATGCCCATGCGTATCCCCCACATTAAGAACAAGCTATCCCGCGACAAAAGCATTAGTTTTCTGATGATTGCCTTAGCATTTA